TGTTTTTAGGTGGCACTGTAATGGGTTCATTCTCACTGTTGTAGAGTTTTCCCACTGTAAGACTGAGTTATCCATTGCATTGCTGCTGGGCACTTGGGTTACTGTAAGGCTATCATCAATAAGGCTGTCATGAACATCCCATGTACCCAGTCTCCTGGCGTACCTGTGCACACATTTCTATGTGGGACATGCTTCATATAGAATTGCTGGGACACGGGTGTGCACAGCATCAACTTCAGCAGACATTGATGATTTCCCCAGCAATATGTGCAAGTTTCTATAGCTTTCTATCCTCATCGCCACTTGAAACTGTTTTTCATTTAGTCATTCTGGTGGGTGCATACAAGTATCCCATTGTGATTTAATTTGCAGTTCCCTGATTACTGATGAGGTTGTACGCAGGAGCCTCTGTTCACCAGTCATGAGGATTTCTTCTTTTAGGAAATGCCTGTCCAAATCTCTTGTCTGTGCTTCTTCTGCCTTGTCTGTTTTTGCCTCATTGATTTGTAGGAGTTTGGGGAGTGAGTCATTTGATGATCATATGTGTTACAAACACCTTCACCCAATCTACACCTTATCTTTTCATTCTCTTAATCTACCTTTTAAAAACAGATGCTTTTTATTTTATAAAATATAACTTATAGACAATTTCATAATAAATTAGTGGGTTTTTTTGTAATGCATTAAAAAAATCCTTCTCTACCCTAAGATTATGATAATGTTCTTTCTCTGGTGCTCAAAATACCACCTGTCATACATCAAAGTCCAACTACTTAGGATTCTGCTTCTGGGCTCTATTCTGTTCCAGTGGTTCTCTTTCAGCAACCTTGCACCAAAAGATGCTCTTGCAAGGCTGCAGAAATCCCTGGGTGGGTTCAGGCCTTTCCAGGCCATTAAACTCCAGCCATAGGTCAAATGTGCTGCAACCTTCAGGGACCAAGGGGACCAAGGCTGACAGTGTGATATCATTCATGAAGTCCGAGAGAACAACTTTCACTCTCAACATTATATTGACTCTTGCTTGTAAGGGATTTATGATTCAATGAAAGGTGGTCAGGCAGACCATAGCCAGGCGTGCGAGAGGATCGTGGGTGAAGAGAGGAGCAAAGGAAGGCTCTCAGCCTATGGGGCTTGTGAAATCTGGAGATGGGCTCTGAGCCCCAAAAGGTCAGGGTCTGTCCCTGCCCAGACTGTGTGCTAATCAAACACCACAGGAACAGAGAGGACGTCCATGGCTTGTGTAGTCAGAGCCCGGCCAGCTTTCAAACTCCCAGTCTCCACTTTCAGCAGGGAGTTGGTGGCCCTGGCCCCCATGCCACGGTGATCCCATTATGAAAGCTCTTTTCATGACTACTTCATATGAACACAAACCTAGAGATAGCGATTGCATGGCTGGGAGTCACCTTTCATTTCTCTCATACCCCATGTCCAGACCACAGGCAAAACTTGGCAGCTTCACCTTCAGGATATACCTGCAGCTGACCACTTAGCACCATCGGCTGCACGCCCACCCCATGGACTATCCTGGCCTGCTGTGTCCACTCCTGTATCTCTATGGTCTCCTCATGTGGTGGCCAGGGGGCCCTTTTCATAAATCTAAGTCAGGTCCTGTGTGTCTCCTGTACTCTGAGCCCTCCTGGTATCCCACTGTAATTAGAACAAAATCAAAACTCCCTACCAGGACTCCAAGGCCCTGGTGATCACTCTCACCCCAGGCCCTCCCACTCTCCTGGTCTTCACTCCCTCGGAGCCCCAGTCTTCCTGACATGCCTCGTGTTCCTATAGCTTGTCCCTACCTCGGGCCCTTTGCACACTTCTGTGCCTCTGCTGGAATGCTCTTCCCCAGCATGCCCCTGGCTCCCTGCTACTGCATTAAGCCTGCTGGGCCACTCCACCTAACCACATTCCCTCCGTCTTCTCCCTGAGCTTCACTGGCTTTGTGGCAGGTTTCATCCCTGGATACCATGAGACACAAGTCCATTCTACCATCCCTCCCACAGAGAATGGAAATGAGGAAGGGTGGGGGCATAGCCTATCCTCATGAATTCCTCACCCCTGGAATCAAACCCAGTACATTTAGACGTCTAATACATGGTTTTCAATAAAGGAGGAAGTAAATACACTGCAGCTGTTGGGGACTCCCAAGGGCTGGCAGCGGAAGGGCCAGGTGTCTGTGAGAAGCACAGGATGCAGCCAGCAAGTCCCCAGTGCATGGGGTGTTTGGGGCTCAGGACAGGGGAGGCATGATTACCTGGAGGCAAGGGTTCTAGAGGGTGGGCATGCGATCTACGGGCAGTACCTCTGCCCAGAGGGGCACAGATGACCCGGCGGATGGCCTGCACCCAGTCCTCCATGTCACGCTGGGAGCTGGCCATGAGCAGGAGCGCCTCGGGGTTGGCCGGCACCTTCTCCTGCTCCCCGGCACCACCTGCAAGACAGGGAGACACAGGCTTATGCGGGGTCCCTGTGCAATGCCAGGTCCCTGCCTGCAGGGCACTCTCCATCCCAGCACTGGTCAGCTTCACTCCTTGTGGGATGCTCTCCAAGTCCTTCCAGCAGCAGCTGAGCTTTGCTTCTCTCTCACATCTCATCCCTTTCACACCTCACACCTCTTTCCTTGGAGCCCTTTCTCATTTTCTCTTTTCTCCCTTAGTGTTACTTTGTTATTTGCCCATGCCAAAACAGAAATAATTTAAAGCACTCAGGACACTGTTAGAAAAAAAAAGGATGCTGATGTTAGGTCAGCTCAGAGAAGTTCAGTGCCCCAGAGTGGCCTCACTTTATGCTTTGTTTCAAATCTTCAAATCAATTTTGCCCACTTGAAGACCACAGTTCAACATCACTATGTGCTTTTAACTTTGGCTTGGATGTTAGGGCCTCCCCTCCCCATCCTGAAGACAAGAGTCTCTGTATGTATTAAGGTCACAGAGGCTGCATGTTAAACAAGGATGGAACACGGCGCCCCGGAATTCTCCACCACACCCATCTCACAGCTAGACAGTGGATCGGTACCTAAAGGCAGAAGGTTCGGAAAACTCAGATGGTTTCTCCTCTATGGTTCTCAAATTTTCATGTGTAAGTGAATTGATCTTTGGGAAATACATAAAACTATTTATACTGGACTTTACAGGTAATTTAAGGGTTTTCAAGAATGAGTTTGTCTTTATACACCCTACTCTGACATCCGAAGGCTATCTGCTTGTAGGGTGTGAGATCCAGAGACCTGTGTTCCCAGGGAGCAGGTGGGCCCAGGCCATTCCTTGCTGGAGCCTGCAGCCCAGGGATGGAGAGCAGACAGGAACAGTGCTTACTGAGCACACGGTAGGTGCCTGGGACCCTTCTGATGAGCACAGCTGCCACACACCTGCCCTCCTGGGGTTCTCTAACCTCCACAGTGACTCCGTGAGGAAGGTATTAGTTCCAACCACATTTTACAGATGAGGAAACGGAAGCACAGAGGAGTTAAGTAGCCTGTTGAACGCACACAGTGAATGAGTGGCACAGCCAGAGAGAGATTCAAGTCCTAGCTCTAGGCTCTCAACCATCCCACATTCCCTCCTGCCATCTCTTCCTAAGAAGTGGTGAAACCAAGCGGACTGTTTTGAGGAATGAGGCACAGGGCAGGAATGTGACCCCGCTGAGGGCACCACAGCCAGGCCTGGGGGGAGACAGAGGGAGAGGCCATGGGGCCCAATGCTCAGGAGGGCGGCAATGAGCAGCCAGGGCTCTGCGATGCCTTCTGGAGCCCTTCAGTATGCAGGCAAGCTGCTGGGGCTCAGGCAGCCACTGGGCAGCAGAGCTGTGGAGCTGGGGAGGAAGGGAGCTGGAGGCTGAGACAGCACAGCCCAACCCCAGAGGCTGCTCAGTTGGCTGCTGTGGTCACTCACAAGGGTATGGGCACTGCCACCTACTGAGGCTGCCACCTGAAGGCAGCTCTGCCGTGGCGACAGCAGTGCTGCACAGCATTTGGGCTATGAAGGCTGGAACGGCTGAGTGTCCAGGATAAGGAGTGGAAGTCAGATGCCACCAGGAAGCTATTTTATGTGAGCATTCCTAGAGAAATGTCTCAAGATGACTTGGAAGAAAGGAACCTGGAGATCAACGGCTCCAGGAATTTGTGGTTACTTGGTTTGTCCTAAATATTCACTTTTGTACCTAATCTTGAATTTCTCATTTGAAAATTATTTTCCCTGCAGAGGGCCGTCCAAGTCATATAAGCTTCAGGCCCCACAAAACTTGGATCTGCCCTGCTCAGAGGCTGGCAGATAACCCCAGGCCCAGCTGTGCCCCTGTCCTGGGTACTTTCTCAAGGTGCTCTCAGCCTAACTTTTTATGTATTTATGTATGTTTATTTATGTACATTTTTATGTATGTATAACTTTTAAGGAAATGGCCACATACTGTTTTGCAAAGTGACTGCTCCATTTTACTTTTCCACCAGCCGTATATGGCCATTCCCACATCCTCACCAACACTTGCTATGCTCAGTCTTTTTACTTTTAGCTATCCGAATAGGTGTGCAGGTATTTGAATCTGTATTTCGCAAATGACTGATGATGTTGGACATCTTTTTATGTATTTAGTTGCTATCTGTGTGTTGTCTTTGGTGAAATATCTGTTCAAATATTTTGCCCATTTTTAAAATAGGTTAATGATTTTCCATTATTGGTGTTGAGAGTTCTTGACATATTCTGGACATAAGGTCTTTACCAGATACATGCTTTGCAAATATTTCTCCCAGTCCATGTTTCTCTGTTTTTTCATTCCATTAACAGTGTATTTCCAAGAGCAGAAGTTTTTAATTTTGCAAAGTCCAATTAATCATTTTTTCTTTTATTGAGTGTGCTTCTGGTATTGTATCTAGACCATACCAGAAGAAGAGGCTTAGCCATAAAGTCTTTGACTAGACTGACATCCGGGAGTCCTTCCCTCTATGTTTTCTTCCAGTAGTTTCATACTTTCATGTTTTATGTGTAAGTCTTTAATCCATTTGGGTTGATTTCTGCACATGGTGAGAAATGGGATCTAGTGTCAGTCTTCTGCATATGGATATCCAGTTTTTCCAGCACCACTTATTGAAGAGGGTGTCCTTTCCCCAATGTATGATGTTGACACCTGTGTTGAAAATCCATTGGCTGCTGAGCCACATTTTTATCGGGAATGGATGTTAGATTTTGTCAAATGTCTGTTCTGCATCTATTGTAATAACGATGTAACTTTTTAGTGTACTAATTGATAAATTACACTAATAAACTTTCAAATGCTAAACCAATCTTGCATTCCTGGGAGAAATCCTACTTGGTAATGATATATTATCCCTTTTATATATTGTTGCTTTGATTTGCTGAAATTTTGTTAAGAATATTTTATGTATTTTCATGAGGGATATTGGCTTGAAGTTTCCTTCACTTAAAATGTCTCAGTCTGATTTTGGTATCAAGGTAATGCTGGCTTCATAGAATAAGCTATTAAATATTCCCTCGTTTTCAAACCTAGACATTTGTAGAGAAATGCTGTTATTTTTTCATTAACTATTTGATATAATCCACCAATGCAGCCATCTAGGCCTTGAGTTTACTTTGTGGAAAGGTTTGTAATAACAAATATAATTTCTTTAATATATACATCTATCTCTTCCTGAGTACACTTTTCTGGTTTGTGTCTTTCAAAGAATTTGCCAGTTTCATCTAAGTTATTGAATTAATTGATATAGTCGTCCATAACGTTCCCTTATTATCCTTTTACTAGCTGAAGAAGCTGTAGTGATGTTAACCTCCCTCACCCTGACATTGGTAATTTCTTTTTTCTTTCCTCCTTCAATCAGCCTTGATAGAGGCTTACCCATTTTATTGATCTCAACAAATCAGCCTTTTGCTTCACTGACTTTGTTGTTTTTGCGGTTAGCAAACTTGTTTTTAAAGGACGAGATGGCAAATATTTTAGGTTTTTAGGCCGTATAGTCTCTGTCACTACTCCACTCTGCCACTGTGGTACAAATGCAGCCAAAGACAATGTGTGAATGAAAGTCATAGTTGTATTTGTGTAAATTTTATTTACAAAAACAAGCAGCCAGCCCGCAGGTTGTAGGTTACCAATTGAGGTCATACTTCATTGATTTCCACTCTGATCTTTATTTTTATTCTTATGCTTACCTTGGGTTTAGTTTGGTGTTTTTCTAGTTTCTTACAGACTTCAATGCTATAATTGTCCCCTGGATTACTACTTTAGAGGCAGCTCCAAAATTTTGATATGCTGTGTTTTCATTTTAATTCAGTTCAAAATACCTTGTACTTTTCCTTTGGATTTCTTCTTTAATTTGTGGGTTATTTAGAAGTGTGTTAGTTTCCAAATTTGAGGGGACTGTACCAGAATATGAAATATCTTGCTAAGTGTTCTGTGTGCACTGAGAAAAATTATTCTGCTGTGGTTGAGTAGAGTGTTCTATAAATGTCAATTTGGTCTAGTTGAAAGTTTTGTTCAAATCTTCAATATCCATGCTGATTTTCCATCTATTCGGTCCATCAGCTATTCAAATTTCCAATTATAATTTTAGGTTTATCTATTTTCTCCTTGAATTTCTATCAGTTTTTGCTTCAGGTAGTTTGAAGCTGTTATTAGGAGCATAAATATTTAGGACTGTTATGTTCGCTTGATGAAATGACTTCTTTATCATTATGAGATGACCTTCTTTATCCCTACTCATATTTTGTTGCTCTGGTCTGAAATCCTTGATATAAACATAGCCATCCAGTTTTCTTTTGATTGGTGTCAGAATGGCGTTATCTTTTCCCATCCTTTTAACTTATTTGTGTCTTTACATTTTAAATGCATTTTTTCTCAGGCATAGAGTTGGGTCCTGCTTTTTTATCCAATCTGATAAGCTTTATTTATAATATGATTATTGGGAGGCTTAGGTTTAAGTCTGGCTTCTGTTTTCTATCTGTCCCATCTGTCCTTTTTCTCTTTTCTTGTCTTCTTTTGGATGGAGATTTTGTTTTTTGTTTTTAATGATTTCATTCTGTCTCCTTTGTGGCTTATTAGTAAAAATCTCTCTCTCCCTCTCTCTCTCTCTCTCTCTCTTCATACTACAGAAATTGCTTTAGAGTTTATGGTATATATCTTTAACTTATCACAGCCTATATTAAGTGATACCCCTTCATGTATAGTATAAAGATTTGTAAGATCTATCTTACAAATAATCTCATAAGGATTATACTTCCATGTCTTCTTTCCTGACCTTTTTGCCATGGTTGTCTTACCTTTTACTGGTATTGCTCTGTCATCAGGCTGGAGTGGAGTGGTACAATCTTAGCTCACTGCAACCTCCTCTGCCTCTTGGGTTCAAGCAATTCTCCTATCTCAGCCTCCTGAGTAGCTGGGATTATAGGCATGTGCCACCACACCAGGCTAATTTTTGTATTTTTAGTA